GGCCGCGGCGGGGCCGCCATGGAGGCGAACGCGGCCAAGCGCAAGGAGCCGCGCAAGTCGCTGCGCATCAAAGTCATCTCCATGGGCAACGCGGAGGTGGGCAAGGTGAGGCGGGCGGGGATTGGCGGGCGCCTCGTGACGGACAGCGCCGCGGGTCAATGGCGGAACGCGGCCCGCCGGCGAGCGCGCCCATTGGCCGCGGCGCACGGGACTGCGGCGGCGCGGCAGCCAATGGGCTTCGCGCGCGAGGCTCCGGCGCGGTGAGGCGAAGAGGGAGGGAAGGTGGGTGCGTGATTGACAGCATGGGAGGCGGGGCTCTCCTTCGGCAGCGCGCTCTGATTGGGCAGCASGCAGGGAGGGGCGGGGCGATGCGGCGGGTGTCATGGCGGGCGCGAGGGGCCTCGTTGAGCGCGGCTCCATCTTCCCCCATGGCAAAAGGAGGCGGGGGACGAGGCGGGACGGGCCGGAGCGGTCTCGTGGGCGCCGTCCGGGCCGCCAGAGCGGCCTCGGAGCTCGCCCCGGCCTCGGAGCCCGCCATGGCGGAGAGCCGGGCTCCGCRGCCCCGGTGGCGGCCAAGGACGGGCTTTAGAACCGAGTTTATCCCCTGTGCCAGGCGGCCTATGGGCCTGTGAGGTGAAAGCGGCCGGGCCTGCCCTGAGTGCCCCTGTGTTCTGCCCAGCCCCAGTGCCACCCCCGTGCCAGGCACTCGAGCACCATCCTCAGCCCTTAGCAGGGGAGGAGCAACAAAGGCTCAGGCAGCGCCTGGGCCGCTGATTTTCCCCTGTCAGGAATGAAACTCATCCCAGCGAAGGTGAAGGGATTGATTGGTTGGCTTAAGGGCGTAATTAATGTTCCTGTAGCTTTCCACCCAGCCGGGGGCTGGCGGCAAGTTCAGCATTAAGGTGCCTCCCGTTCCCACCGGGCAGTGCCCTCCCGCTCAAACCCTCCGTCTCTTGCAGAGCTGCATTATAAAGCGCTACTGTGAGAAGAGGTTCGTTCCCAAGTACCTGGCGACCATTGGCATCGACTACGGCGTCACCAAGTGAGTTCTGCAGCGGTGGGGACAGGAGGGCCCCATGGGGCAGAGGGCCGAGCGAGGCCGGGCTGTGCAGCACCCAGAGCCCGTCCCGCTTCTCCTTTCAGGGTGCAGATCAGGGACCGGGAGATCAAGGTGAACATCTTTGACATGGCCGGGCACCCCTTCTTCTACGAGGTAAGGCAGACACGGCCCTTGGCAGCCTCTGGTGAGGGTGAAGAGCCTTTAGTGCAAAATGTGTGTGTAAAAACAGTGTGGATCCCCTCGGTGCATCCTGTTGGTGGTTGGGCTTAGGGTTAGTAATGCCAGGAGTTGGCCTATGATCCCCGGTCCTGTTGCTGCTGGCACCTGGGCACATGAGCCCTGAGGTTGGCAGCCCTAGCCCAGCTGCTGCCCCCTAAACAGCCCCCCGCCACACACACATCCCTATGGGAATCACTGGACCAGCCTCTGTTCACAGGCGACCAGCCCCTTTTCTCCCCTTATCCTGCTGTTTCCTCACCCTGCAAAGCGCCAGTGTCCAGGGCCGGGCTCTCCTGCCAGGCCCCGTGCTCTCCACCTGGCTGTCACTGGTGCCACCACCCTCCGTGTGTCCCCGCAGGTGAGGAACGAGTTCTACAAGGACACGCAGGGGGTCATCCTGGTCTACGATGTGGGGCAGAAGGATTCCTTTGACGCGCTGGATGGCTGGCTCGCCGAGATGAAGCAGGAGCTGGGTCCCCATGGGAACATGGAGAACGTCGTCTTCGTTGTCTGCGCCAACAAGGTGGGTCGTGCCCAGGGGCTGGGCTCTGAGGAACCGGCTGTGCTCCGGCTGTGCCCAAGCTGTTGAGCTGCAGCTGCAGCACAAGAAGAGCCSTTAGGTGGCAAGGGAGATTTTCTGTACTGCCATTTAGAGGGACCTGGACAGGCTGGAGAGTTGGGCAGAGAGGAACCTCATGAGGTTCAACAGGGACAAGTGCTGCTCCTGGGCAGGAATAACCACAGGCACCAGGAAAGATCAGAGGTCGACCTGCTGGAGAGCAGCCCCGCAGAGAGGGACCTKGGAGYCCTGGGGACACCAAGTCACCCGTGGGGCAGCAGRGCCCTSRTGGCCAAGGAGGCCAGTGGGCTCCTGGCTGCATCCGGAGGCCGTTGGCAGCAGGGCAGGGAGGGGATCCTGCCCCTCTGCTCAGCTCTGCGGAGGCCAAAGCTGGAGCGTTGGGGGCAGCTCTGGGCTCCCCAGGACAAGGGGGCCGTGGAGCTGCTGGAGAGGGGCCAGCGCAGAGCACCAGGGCTGAGGAAGGGCCTGGAGCCTGTAGGGAGAAGACCAAACCCTACAAACCTGTCTGGATGCGCCCGGGTGCCCCGTGCTCTGGGTGTCCCTGCTGGAGCAGACTGCACTGGATGATCTCTAGGGGTCCCTTCCAACCTCAGCCATCCTGGGATTTAGTGTAAGAGCYAAATCTCTGTTTGAGGAGGACTTGCAGGCCACATCTCAGCAGGATTTTGAGAACTTTGTAGGCGTGCAGGAATGGGAAGAGAAATCCAGTAGATCCAACTGGGATCTCCTGGACTAGAGGAGCTGTCAGAGGGCTTTTTCTGTGCTTCCATTGCTTGCTGCTGTCCGTGCAGAGCCGGCCTGTGCTCTCACCTCTCCGTTTTATCCCGTCTAGATCGACTGCACCAAGCACCGCAGCGTGGACGAAAGCGAGGGGCGGCTCTGGGCGGAAAGCCGCGGCTTCCTTTATTTCGAGACTTCGGCRCAGACGGGAGAAGGCATCAACGAGATGTTCCAGGTAACTTGGAATTAGAGTGATGAGGGCCGGGCACCGTGCTGAGCACGGGTTTGATGGTAGAATATCCTCTGAACTCGCTGCCCGCATCCCACAAACGGGTCTCAAAGGTGCCTTCCCAATGAAACAGCACGCCGAGAAAGTGCAGCTTTTTAGCTCAAGGTTAGTGCTAGTCCTCCCAGTCCCRTGGGGGCCCTGGCATCGTGTTGCTGGGAACTGATGATCCCTCCTGCTCCCCTGGGAACGCGGTGCAGAGATGCCCCCCCCATCCCTTCAGGTGCAGCACTGAGCTGGACGGGATGTGAGATGAGCACAGAGCCACTTGGGGGTGGTCTGGCCTCTTCCTCAGCCTGTCCCGTGGTCCCAGCATGGGCCAGAGCTCCCTTTCCCTGGGTGTCCCAGCACCTCCTGAGCCCACGTGCTGGGCAAGGGCCTGTGGACGTCCSCTGCAAACGCTCGTCCAAACGCTGTGGACATTGTGCAAACGCTCCCTCTTGTGTCCGATGATGARCCAGCAGCCAGCGAGGGCGGCGGGGACTCGGGCCACCCTCTCTGCCTCTGCTTTTGCGATGCTGCCTCCTTGATCGCTCCCCTGCATCCCCAGACCTTCTACTCGGCCATCATCGACCTGTGTGACAACGGTGGGAAGCGGCCCCCGTCCAGCGTGGCCGTTGGCTTCACCAAGGAGCAGGCGGATGCCATCCGCAGGATCCGCAACAGCAAGGACAGCTGGGACATGCTGGGCGTCAAACCCGGGGCCACGAGGTGAGGGAGGCTGCGGGTTCACCACGGCACCCGGAAACTCTCTGYCCCTGCAGCTGCAGGCCCCTTGCAGCTGTGATTTTTGAGCGTGCTGAGACACACGCCTTGGTTTGTCCCTCGGCCGGGCACAGGCTGTTTGTTCCTAACCGCAAAGCTGAGGCAATTCAGAGGAAACCCTCTGCCCAGAGCACCACGTTTCCCCTTTTAACAGAGAGACAGAATTAGGGCAAGGGGGAAGTGATGGACTGGGGAGCTTCTGCCTTGCTGGCTGCCCAGTTTTGTGTCTTTCCTCCAGGCTGAGCCGCCTCTGGTTCCTCGCTGCCAGATGTGCTAAGAGCAGCTCTGTCTTCCTCGTTCTCCACATCTGGAGAAGCTTTTAGGCTGCTGCCCACGTTACCCAGAAGGGGGATTGACATTCCAGTTCTTCCACCTGGAAGCAGTATTCCCACGAGAGGAGCTTTCCCTTGGCTTCCTCAGAGGACCGTTAGCCAGTTGGAATTGGTCATTGCCTGGGTTGGGATCTCCCCCTTCTGCTGTGTGACTTGGGCAGCTGGAACAGCCCCCCGGAGCTGTTCCTCTCTTTGGGCTCTCTGAAACATGAGGAATCCCTGTGTTGGAGCAGCGCTGCCGCCGTGCAGAGCTGCTCCCTTTCCCTCTCCCGTGGTGACTGCACATGGAGAAACACCCCGTGTGCTTCGTTTTAGCCCCTTCTCCCCAAGCCCCAGCGAGGGAAGGCTCCAAAAGTGTCATCAAAAAGCGGGTTCCTGTCCCCGCTCCGCTCTCGCTGCAGGACGAGGCTGGCCCGGCCTGCGCGGGTGCCCTCACTGTCCCCTTGTCTCCTAGGGACGAGGTGAACAAAGCCTACAGGAAGCTGGCCGTGCTGCTGCACCCCGACAAGTGCGTGGCGCCGGGCAGCGAGGACGCCTTCAAAGCCGTGGTGAACGCCCGCACCGCCCTGCTCAAGAACATCAAGTAGGGGCCAAGGGGCTGCCCCCGCTGGACGCCTTCCCGCCAGCTCCCCGGCAGCCGCGTGTCCGCAGGGAAGCCCTTTTCCCCTCCGCACTCCTGGATYGGATGTGGATGCTCCGAGCACTGGCGCTGCCCGCTGGGCCACATCCGAGCGTGGTCCCCTTGGCATGTGGCCCCACGAGCACAGAGGAGGAGAGAGGGACCTCGGGTCGTGGTTAGCAGAAGCAGCGCTGAGAGCAGCAGGTTTCCTGCCTTCCCGGCCACCTTTTCCTTCCTGGGATGCGGATGGCTGGAGTGAGAGCCACGTGTGACCCCAAATGCCGCCCTTGCTGTGCCCCCCTTGCTGGGGCTGCCTCGGGGCTCCCCCAAGCACCCCCTCTTGCCAGAGGCCTCGTCGCCAGCCACACCTGCCCCTTGCTTTCCTTGCATCCGTTGGGAATGAGTGAAGGGACCTGGGCCAAGCCTCATCCCAAGGCCGAGTGTCCCGTTCCTCCCTGGCCGGTGCCCTTCCTCCTGGGGCTGCCGCGGTGCTGAGAACGGTCCCACCTCCTGATCCCAGCATGGAGCCTCCTACGGCTGCCTCCTCCCGTGTCCCCGAGCCACGCAGGGCACGGAGGGTCCCGGGGGCTGCCCCTGCTCTCCTGGCCYTCCGCTCGCCCTGTATCGCCCTGCTTTGCAGGTGGGGTCCCTCTCTGCCTCCCCAGTCAGCAGCTGGGGCCGGCTGGCTCCATCCCAACACACAGTCCCAGTTTTCTCTGCATGTTCATGCTGGGYGCCCCAAGAAGGAGATGCGGAGGGTTGAGACTTGGCTGTCGCGCTGCTGAGGGAGGGCAGAGGTCCGGGCYCCTGGAGAGCAAACAGGAGGCGCCTTTAGCGCCCACAGTTTCAGCAGCCCCCCCTTTATTTATTTACTGCTGTGCACTTGGCAAGAAAGACACCACGTCATGAAGTGAAAGGCRCTGAGTGTATTTTCGTGTGCTGCATGAGGACACTAAGTTATAGAAAGCCACCGAGTGCATGTGCRTGGCCCCGAGCCCTGTCCCAAGCGCATCCCGTTCAGGAGCGTTTTCTCCCATGCTCAGTGCAATTTTCTTTCACTCCAGGGCAGCTTTTCTGTATGGCCTTTTCCAAACCTTTTGGGAATCAACACCCAACACCCCCTTTTTGGCAGCAAACGCCAAGCAAGAGTTTGGAAGGCAGCATCATTTGCTGGCTCAGGTGCCAGGGTGCTGGGAGGCACCTCTTGCTTCTCCACCGGAGAAACATCCGAAGGGAGACGTTGCTCCAAAAGGTTCATATTTAAAATAGTTTTATTTTATCCTGCCCCGGATGTTTTCAGAGCTGGGCTGGGGCATGTGAGCGGACGTGGGAGCTGCAGCGAGTCCCGCTGAGTCCCGGCTGCTCCTGGAGGCTCCGGAGCTTCTGGAAACCTCCCCGCTTGCCTAGCGAAGGAAACCGCCCGCTCCCGCCTTCAAAGCCCTTTTCCTGCACTTTGTTTTTCCGTGGAGGAGGGTGAATAATCCCGCTGCTGAATGGTGCRCTTGACTTGGAGGGAGAGGCCTTGGCTTCGAGGCCTCCTGGGTTCCTGTCGGCTCTCCAGGACGCCTGGGCCCTTCCTGGCCGCTCCTTGCAGAAAAGCTGTTTGCTGCTCAGGTGGCTCCGCGTGCCGGGCCRGGCTTTTCTCCCGCCTGTTTACAGAGCTCCTAGGATGTGCAGACATGACTGTGTCACGTCCAGCAAAGCCAGCGACCTTCTGAGCTGTGTTATTTTTATAAATTAAAGCCCCTTTGGAACAGAGGAGGCCCCGCAAGCCGTCCTGCCCCTGTTAATGTTTAATTGCCCTTGGACTCGCTCCTCCTGCCCGGCCAGGGCTGGCGGAGGCCGGCGGGGAAGAGCTGCCCCTGAGGGTGACGGTGGCGGCCGAGGAGCTCGGTGGGAGCGGGAATGAGGGCAGGGAGCAGCCGGGGAGCCCAGGGGGACCTGTCAGCCCATGGAGCATCCAAGGGGCCCCATCCTGCCCGGAATCCGGCTCCTTGCTCTTCCCGCTGCGCCGGCTGCCTCCCACCGAGGTCTCCATGCGGGTCCTGCTGCCTACGTGCCCGTGCTGCAGCGAGGGCCCCGGGATGCACATCCCAAGCAGGTTGCCGATCCCGGCCAGAGTGGGAGTTTGCATCCCAAGGCGCAGCTTGGAGCTGCCTCCGAGGGCTCCGGCRCGGGAAGGTCTCGGCAGTGACCGGAGCTCCGTGCAGCTGCCGGGSGCTTCTGCTGGGACGAGTTGTCCGAGCAACGTGTGACCATCCAGGCGCTGCCGCCCRAGGCTCCTACCCTGCAAGGCGCCCAGGCCGTGCCCGGGGGCATAACCCACCTGCAAGGTGAGCRACCACCTACCCCAGTGACCACCCGGTCCCGTTTTGTGCCACCAAACTGCCCCTCGGCGGGTGTCGCATCCTGGGGAGCCTGGCGTGAACGCAGGCAGGCTAAGAGCCCCCCATCCTGCATGCTGCYGCCCCAGGTGCTCATTGGGGTATTAATTACGCGCTGCAGCAATTAACCTCCTGCAGAAGCAGCTGAGGTTGCCCTGGGCCCCGTGGGGACGGCGGTGCCCGGGGACATCRGAAGGGGATGAAGTGTTTTGGGTGGCTCCACGTGGCTTCTGCACCCAGGGTGCTAACCCGGGGGGTCCCTGCTCCTGGCCAAGCCATGAGGAACCCTGGAGCACCCGTGTCCCTGTGGCTCCCACGGGGAACGGTGTGGGTGTGGGGACAGGGACCACATCCTCCCGCTCCGCGTGCCCCAGGTGCTGCGGGGAGCTCGGTGGCATCCCGGCGCCGCAAGGGTTACGCGGGCGCGGGAGGCGGGGACGCGGCGGCGCCGGCGCGGGGTCCCGCACCCCGCCATCAGCAGCACTTGCCTTTCTCATACCCCCCCCGCAACATTCCCCCCTATTGCTGTTACCCCGCGAGCGCAGGGCAGGGCCCAGCGGGGCCCGCGGCCGTCCCCGAGCGGCGGCTCCGCTCTCGCCTTGGCCGCGCTGGCAGCCTGGCAGCGGGGCGGGCGCCGCGGCACTCAGCCCGGCCCCCGCGCCGCCGCGATGCTCCGCTGAGCGCCGCCGCTCCGGCCTCGCCGCCGCGGGGCCGCCGACATGCCGCGCGCCCGCGACTTCGCCGAGCCCGAGTACTCGGCCGACTGCTCGGCCGACTACTCGGTGAGCCTGCCGTCGGACGCGGAGCGCGCCGCGGGCCGCGCGCACGAGGTCACCGTGCGCCGCTCGGGGCCCTGCCTCTGCCTGCCCCGCTTCATGCGCCTCACCTTCGCGCCCGCCTCCTTGGAGACCCTCTACCAGACCTACTTCCGACGGCAGCGCCACGACACGCTGCTGGTGCTCGTGGTCTTCGCCGCCCTCTTCGACGTCTACGTGCTGGCCACGTGCGCGGCGGTGGCGGCGGCCGAGCGGCTGGCCCCGGCGCTGGCCGCCGCCGCCGGCCTGGCCGCCCAGGCGCTGCTCTTCGGCCTCTGCAAGTCGGGGCTGCTGCCCGAGCGCGCCGCGCGCCGCTTCCTGCCCTACGTGCTCTGGGCGCTCATCCTGGCGCAGCTCTTCGGCTACCTGGGCCTGGGCGCCGGGCGCCGCCACGAGCCCGCCGACACCGTGGGCTGGCAGGCCTTCTTCGTCTTCTCCTTCTTCCTCACGCTGCCGCTGCGCCTGGCGCCCATCGTGCTCCTCACGGCCGCCTCGTGCGGCCTCCACACGCTCGTGCTCGGCGTCGCCGTGGCCCAGCAGCACCAGGGCGCCCTGGACCAGGGCGCTCTGCTGCGGCAGGTACGGGGGCGCGCGGCGGGGCGGCGGGCGCGGGGGGCACCCGCTTCTGTGCTGCACCCTGGGGTACCTTCTGAGCAAGGAGTGGTCCTTTGTCCCAGAGTCTTCTCCCTTGGTCTTCTTTGGGGTCCATCCTGAACCAGGAATGGTCCTTCCTCCCAGGGCCTTCTATGGTCTTCCTTGGGGTACGTCCTGAGCCAGGAGTGGTCCTTCTCCCCTTGTCCTTCTCCCGTGGTCTTCCTTGGGGTACATCCTGAGCCAGGAGTGGTCCTTCTCCCCTTGTCCTTCTCCCTTGGTCTTCCTTGGGGTCCATCCTGAACCTGGAGTGGTCCTTCTCCCCTTGTCCTTCTGCCATGGTCTTCCTTGGGGTACATCCTGAGCCAGGAGTGGTCCTTTCCCCTTGTCCTTCTTCCATGCTCCACTGTGGGGTACGTCCTGAGCAAGGACTGGTCCTTCTCCCTGCAGATTTCTCCTCTGTGGGGTCCATCCTCAACCAGGACTGGTCCTTCTCCCCACAGATTTCTCCTCTATAGGGTCCAACCTGAACCAGGGTGTTCCTTCTCCCCATGGACTTCTCTTGTAGTCCTCCATGGGGTCCATCCTACACCAGGAATGGTCCTTCTCCCCTTGTCCTTCTCCCGTGCTCCACCATTTGGCCCCATCCTGAACCAGGGATGGTCCTTCTCCCCATGGACTTCTCCTCCATGGGTCCATCCTGAACCAGGAGTGATCCTTCTCCCCATGTCTTTCTCCCATGGTATTCCTTGGGGTGCACCCTAAACCAGGCCTCGTCCTACAGCCCGTAACCTTCTCCCGTGGGGTCCTTGCCCATCCCTGAAGCCCAAATTCCCAAAACATCTCCATTCCCAAAACATTCTCAATTCCCAAAACATCCCCATTCAGCAGTAGCTGGAAGGAGCCCAGATCAGGCCTTCCTTCAACCTCACAAATGGGCTTTTCCAGGAAAAAAGGAGCAGCTGGGACACAGTGTCCTCACATGGGGCTGGAGGCTAGTGTGTTTTGGGGCAGCTTGCGTGCTTTTTGCTTTAATTTTTTTGCAAAAACAGGCAGCAAACGACCCAAAAGGAGGAGGCCCGGGGAGCAACCGGGGAGAGCCCGGCATGCCGGGCATCCAGCATCCCTTTTCCCTTGGGAACCTGGTGATGCTCCGCTCCACATCCCAGCTGCAAGGGCRAAAGCAGCCGCATCCCGGCTTTGCTCCCGAGCCAGGATTCAAACCTTGTCCCATCCATCCGACGTGGGAAAAGCTCCGGAGAGCCGGGACGGCCGCGCCGGGCGTTTTCCCATGGCATGGAGAGCACGGAGAGCCGGGATGAGCCCTGGCAACGCAGCGCCTCCGTGGCCGCCTGCTCCGAGAGGAACACGACGTCCCGAAATAAACCCCGGGCGCCTCGGGAGCGCAGGCGGCCGCCGGGAACGGCTATTAATAGGGTCCGGGCCGCTCCTYGCTAAGGAGAAACGCCGGTAGCCGGCATCCTGCCCGTTGCCGTGGCGACGTGGCGGCTGTTGGGCAACAGCCGCGGCTGGGTGTTGTTGGGGGGGGCGGTCACCAGCGCGGCCTCCCCGTCATCCTGCAGCTCTGGGYTCCCYGGGACAAGGGGCACGTCATCCCACGTGTCCTGAGGGTGCTTCCACGTGTGGCAACCACTATCTGAAGACACGGATGGACAGACTCCCGCTATTATCCTTGGGCAGGGGGGTCTTGGTGGGTTCTCCCGGGTTTTTGTCCCAATCCCCAGCGCTCTTCCCTCCGCGCAGATCCTCTCCAACGTTGCCATCTACCTGTGCGCCATCACCGTGGGCACCATGTCCTACTACATGGCGGACCGCAAGCACCGCAAGGCCTTCCTGGAGGCGCGCCAGTCGCTCGAGGTGAAGCTCAACCTGGAGGAGCAGAGCCAGCAGCAGGTAGGGGTTGGCACCAGCACCCGGAGCCTCGATTCCCCCCGGGAGCCCGGCTGGCAACGCCGAGAGCCGCTTTGCACCCGCATGCCCGCTGCCGTGAATTAGATGTGTGATCGGAAAGGGTGTTTGCAGCAGGGTTGTGAGGCTCGGGATACGTCTAGGGCCTTATCTAGGCCCTTATCTGGGGCCTCTCGCTCGGCTCTTATCTGCTCGCTGGCTCCGGCGCCCGGGCAAGCTGCTCCCAGTGGCAACGGGGCCATGCAATGCAGCCCTCGCTGCACTCAGGGGGCTGAATGGCAAAAAAAAGGGTGCTCGCAGGGTCACGAGAGTCAGATTGTTATTGTTTTTGCTATTATTATTATTATTATTATTATTATTATTATTATTATTATTATTATTATTATTTTCCTAGGGATTTGGGTTTATAAAAAGCACTGCCCCGCCCGCAGGGTGAAGGGAGGCTCCGGGCGGGAGCTGCTCTGCAAAAGGGAATTTGGCAGCACATCCACCACCTCCAGCCAGGGAGCTTCCCCCCTTTCCTGCTTGCAAAAAAATCCCGGGAATGGCCTGGGCAAAAATACCCGGGAATTGTCTGGGAAAAGAGGGGACAGGGAGGCCGGAGGCGGCGCCCGCTGCCAGCATCAGCACCAGGGCCCCATGTTGCCATGGCAGCCCCAGCCGCCATCCCACRGCTCTTCCCAGCCTTTCCCGACGGATCCGGGGGCGGGATGGCGCTGCCCCGCGCCCGCCGCAGCCCTCGGGCACCCCGTGSCCCCCTCGCTGCGAGGGAAAACCCTCGGCTCCCGATGGAAGAGGGCACCGGGCGCCGGGGCCGGGTGCCCGCGGCGGCGCGTGGCGCTCGCTCCGCAATCCCTGTTGTGGTTACGAGCGGTGCCCGAGGGGCCGCCGGGAGCCRCGAGCGGGATGGGGGCCCCGCGAGACGCGCTGCCGTCCCGGCCGTGCGTCATCCCCCTGCTCCTGCATCACATCCTGAATCCCTGCCCGCACCCGGGATCCTGGCGGCCAGGATCTGGGGGCTTGGGAATGTCGCTCGGCCTCTCTCTGCTTCCTCAAGGGGAGGAAAGCACTTTCTGCACCATGCACCTGTGCCATGCACTTGCACCTTGCATTTGCACC